CTGAGGATGAGGAGGAGGACTGAGGAGGACTGAGGACTGAGGAGGAAGAGGAGGAGGATGAAGAGGAGGAGGACCCAGGAGGAGGACTGGGGAGGAGGAGGACTGTTGAGGACTGATGAGGAGGACTGAGGACGAGGAGGAGGAGTAGGAGGAGGACTGAGGAGGGGAGGAGGAAGAGGACTGAGGAAGATCAGGAAGACCCAGGGGGAGGAGGAGGAAGAGTAGGAGGAGGAAGCATCTAAATGTTATTTCCATTTTTTCCCGTTTTTGTCCATTTTTGTCCGTTTTTGTCCGCTCTATTTTTTGTCCGTTTTGAAAATATAGGGTACCGAACGGACAAAAAACATGATCCCCCTATAACAGCAAAAATTGAACATTTTATTTAGCAATTTAGGTGTCCATTAATGTCCGCCTATGTCCGCCTATGTCCGTCTATGTCCGCCTATGTCCGCCTATGTCCGCCTATGTCCGCCTATGTCCGCCTATGTCCTGTCCTTTTTTGATTCTATGAGACAAGCGGACATAGACGGACGTGACACCCCCCCCTTTTAAACAGAGTCTGGCTACCTGCTAGTCCGGGATTAGTGCCTACAACGAGGGATGGAGGTATCATTCTCCCTCTCGGTCCGGAGAGAGTGAAGACCTCTAACACGTTAACTTATAATTCAGTGGTACGTACCCCCCGGATATAACATTATGTACTGCTAGCTCCCACCTTTGCCGTTGTGTGTGCTTCTGTTCTTGCTTTATCTTATGCCTTCCCGCAGTTTTAGAACAAGCCTGCCTTGTGATTCCTTGTCCCTATGCCACACCTTGTGTAACCTCACTGGCTTTGTTTTACGGGTTTATCTTGCCTCACGCTACCTCCCTTATGTTGCGCAACTTGGGCCTCGCCTCTTTTTTAGTTGGACCGTTTTAACCGGTGTCCTCATGACAACCGGGGACGTTTTCTCCTAAAACGCACCTCTAGTTAGGGACTATTCGTCTTAATTACTCACTTAAGTTCGGATCTACTATGGAGTGTGGAACATCACAACTGCAACATTACAGAAGCAATTTTAGTAGACGGATTATATTCTCGTTTTCTCCTATATTCTCATTTGTTCGGTATATATTCCATCACCTCCCCGAAGAAAAGCCCCAGTAAAAGGTGGGTTATTATTTCAATAAGTTCCTCCTCCTCCTCAATGGGAGCCACAGCCGATCTAATTTGACACAATGTGTTCCGCAGGTACGCAGGTCAAACAACTAATACGGTTTTGAAGAAAAGCTCGCTAAAATGACAAATGCAGCTCCACCATTGGCTGGTCCCATTCACGTGACCAACCTCGTCAGCCCACGTGTTTCGCGCGTTCGTTGCCCTATTGGAGGAGTCCGATAGTTAGAGAACCATATGCAGTTTAGAGTGAAGTAGACAAGACTTAGAGCGGATGATATTGTTTGTAATTCTTGGTTAATTCGGCCGAGTAGCCTCGGTGCGAGATGGAGGTGCCCGAAAAGGGCCGGACGGTTAGAGTGCCACCTCGTGCACTAACTACACCATTTTAACACAAGATTGCAACTTGGTTTAGCCCGATTTGGGGACAAGTTACCAGGACATGTGGAACTGGAACCAAGACAATATCTCCACCACCAACCACTAACTCACCACCACGCACAATCCTCTTCAGGCCTACTGCACCACAAAATAGAGGGGAACAGCACCTCTTTGAGTGCAACATTTAGGGGGATTATTGGGCAATCACCCTGATCTACTCTGCCAGACAAATGCCATTTTATTGGCACTGGATTAAGGAGAATTAAGGGAGTTACAATCCCGCTTATAACTTATATTATCCACTAGAAACCTTTACAAGGCTAACTACCACGGGACACAGTTCAAAAGAAAGGGCCGAGTTTTAGAGAGACACAAAACAGTGAAACCAGAGGTGAGGCGACTGTTAGAGGACAATCCGTCATCAGGTGGGATAATCGGGAGGTGTCTCAAAGAGGATTTGAAAAGAAAGCAGAGAGAAGTAACAGTTCCGCTGGGTCTCTCATTTCAGAAGCAGACACTGGCAATAACCTATGTAATTATTGTTCTTTTTATACTCAGAGTGAAATGTGTATTTTATCTCTATGATCAGGGATCTCCTCTCGTTTTATTATCAATCCTGGATGCTGTCTAGGAGGGTAATATTCCGAACATATTGTTTCAGGTATTTTGACAGATATAGGATGGAACATAATGTTCGTTTGTCTGGGAATGAAATGAGACGGCTGGTGCTCGAGGAAAAGTGATGTCATAGTCGGTCTAGTACTTGGATACGAGTACTGGGATCATGACAAATAATGGAATAAAGCCTGTAACTTACGTCTTGCCGCGATACCAGCGGTGCCTTTCACAGACATTGCTATGGCGATGAGGTGAATCTTTCACAGACATTGCTATGGCGATGAAGGTGAATTTAAGATTCTAGTTGCGGTTCAAAAAATTCCAACTCTACTTGCAGCTGCGGTCTAACCTGGCCACGATCTACTTAAAACTATGTTATACTTGGTTAATGCCCTAAAATAGGAGGAGTAGTAGTATACTAGTATACGAGTACTTATAATAGGGCTTGGTTAACAAGTGTATCCTGGAAGGGCACACGTCTTGATTACCAGCCCCGGCTAGCACAGCCCCCCTTTCCTGGGTACATGGTGCCAGGACGGAGTGTGAATGTGAGTGTGGTGGTACTGTTGACCAGGGTGGTAACTGATGTGTTGTAACACTGGTATGGATTGAGGGACTTGGAGGGGGACCAACTTTATTTCGGGTTCCTTGAACAACTTCAGTTCAGGTTCCTACTTGTGATTACTGGTGTGAGTGGAGAAATCTCAGCTATTGTACGATGTACATACAAGTTCATACAAGTTTAATCCTGCATGCTATGACAAAAAATATGTGTATTGAAATCAAATATTATTTAATCAGTTACATATAATGACAGTTATATTTTGTTTGATAAGTACTAATAGTAGGGCTGGACGACTAAAACATCACGTTTATCTACACGAACCAGCAACCAACCAGAATCCACAATCCCACCACCGTCCAACCAGATCCAACAATCCCACCAACCGACCAATGAGAAGCCTGGATATCAGACAGGTGATGGTGTCTCGATAATGAGTAATGACGAGAAGCTTGTCGGATGCTTGTTGGTCTGTGGTTAACTCGTGTCTAAAAACAATTCCACTTCATGTAAAAACGTGTGAGTAGCTGGACGCGTGTTGTCAGACAATGGAGAAGCAGAGAAGAGGGTGGATTACACTCGGAACAATAGAGCACAGCAGAGAAGAGGGTGGATTACACTCGGAACAATAGAGCAGCAGGAGAGAAGAGGGTGGATTACACTCGGAACAATGGAGCACAGCAGAGAAGAGGGTGGATTACACTCGGAAGACACAGTGCCGGAACAATACAGGTAGATGCAACTTAGCTGCTTTTAAACAGATTTGAGAGAGAGATTTGAAACAATTTATGTAGCGAGATGAGATGAGTGACACGTGATGATGGGATTAAGTGTGTTCTAACAAGAATGACAACAAACCCTGCAGAGTCTCCCTCATAACCCTTTAATCATCCACCGATAAACTGTCAATTATGTGGCTATTATTTCTCAATTATGTGCCCATTAACGATGCCTGGGTCACAGAGCAACATTAAGTGTTGATCCCGGTAAGTGAGACAGGACAGGACAGGGCAGGAGAGGGTATATTATTGCTACATTTTGGTGGGTCGTCTATAAATGGACCTGACTGTAAGGGAAAGAGTTACAAACAAAATATTCGTACACTAATTAGGGTGTTGACATTTTAATTTGAGGTGTCGAGAGAATTAAAATTGTCAAATTATAGGCCCACTTCAGTGTTTAAGAAAGTTATGTTATCAATCGGCAGCGGCTATGGGAAATTCAGAGTTGAAGGGTTTTAGAGGGAATATTATATGTGCATCTGGTGAGTGGATGTGAAGCTGATAATGATATCCTGGTATGGGGCACCGGTGCACTTTATTACCGTTCCTATATTCTACAACATTTTAAAATATTTCAAATAATTCGATAGCTGTGTGAGTGGCGTGGTGACACTCCTGCTGCAGGTCCATCAAGTAAATATATGTAATGGTGAATTACACACATAAAATGCTAAATCTATTCAATTATAACATCTCATCTTTTGTGTGCTACGCTCTGTTGATTTTATCATACCCTAACAATAGAATTTATAATAAAACTCCTTGCATTCCAATCCAACTCTTTGAGTCACGTGTAGTGAGAGTTGAAATATTGCTTTGTTGTTTTTTCTCGCCTCTCTTTGTCGCTACATTGACCCCTGTTCTCTACACGTGTAGTACCCATCACACACACCATCTCCCTGGTGATCCCAACATGAACAACCAAATCACACACACACTCATTTCCCATTTTCCACATTTGTAATTTGAGATCTAGTGAGGGAGATGCGAGTGAGAGTGGACTCCTACCACAGTACGACTCCTTCTCCTTCTGGTGAGAGACACTAGCTGAGATACGTGTAAATATCAACCAGTTTTCACACTCATACTACAGTGTGTCACATCATAACCTGTCTGACACGCATTGAAAACTTTTCAAATTTTTATTCCGATTCCCACTGAGAGGTGAGTGAGATGTGTTCCGGTAATAATAACATTGTTTGTGTCTCCATGGATGATTGGTCATGGTAAAGTGAGCTGGCCTAATAGAATGAGGGTGTCTTACAAGTGACGGTAAAAGCATGGCAGTATGTGAGAAAGTTCACCGTCAAATTAACTTTACTTTTAATCATGAAAAGGTCACGACATTTCTGCTGCCATCGATCCTGGTGAGCTATGATGCAAACATCTAAAAATGATGTAAATATCAAATTTAGAGCTTATAAAATAACAAAAATATGTAAATAAGGGGAACTTGGGAACATGTAAAAAATGTAGAGAAAGAGAGAAATAGAGAGCTTACTGTGGGGTCGGCAAGTAGTTTGTGGACTTCTTTGAGAGCTTGTGGAGTGGGGCAAATGGTGAGGGGCAGCAGAGATCGCTCCCCGTCCACACAGCGGGGCATGGGCAGTTTACCGTGTTTATACTTCGTGATACCTGGGCAGTATACAGCGGGATTAGTTGAGGTTTGAGTAGGGTTTGAGTGCGGTTTTAGTTTGAAACCAGCCATAAAAATGCGGTTACTTTTGAAATGGATCTGGCATAATATTAGCATTTTATTAAGTTTATCATCATGTGGGGAAGTAAGCGGCATCAGCTCAATCTGTAATTTAGTTGCTGATAGGGTTTTAGCAACAAGGTCCCGCCAATTAACAGACTTGTAGGTCTTGGATCAGGCCCAAATTAGGTTCGGGTAAAACCCCAAAAGAGGGCACTATGATAGGACAAAGTAAAGTAAAGGGGGGGTTTGAGGAGAAGTCCTACCGTCAACTTGTATGTTGAAAGACCAATCGCCCAGCTTCCAGACGGCCCAATCGTTTGTTGTAGGGAACAGATGGACTACCTGTAGAAGGTTTAACGTTTTAACAGTGTGTCAGGTAAAAAAGTGGTATCAGAATATATCAGAATATCAGACATTATTGCCCGGTGATAGTCTGAGGTCAGAATATTATATCATGTTATATTATCATGGATAGTATGTTCTATAGATCTGGCAGTGTGGCCAACACACAGTGTGCCTGCTACAGCTGACCTGGCATTCTTCACTACAATTTAACAAACTTAATAAAAACATGGTTAATGTTAACATGCAATGTGGTACAAATAACACCTGTATAAAACATTAGTTTAGTATAACAAACCTTCACTTTTCGCTCAAGTAAACAGGGCTTATGTCGAGCCCCACCCACTGTCAGTCCGTCCGAGGTCACGAAATAGGATCCCGGGATAATGGTACCCTGAATTGAAATGTCTGTTTAAAATCATGCCTCCCACGTAATACAGTGTTTGAAATATTACGATGATTACGAATAATCATGTATATCATGCCAACTCTTCTGAGCTTTAATTGAAGACGGTGGTCTCAACATGTCCACAATATTTAGGGCAATAATTATGAGGTAATTGATTTTTACCGCCTTTAGCCGTCATTGAGTACCCAGAAAGGTACGGAAAGTCTAGAAAAACAGGGCCAAAATTCGCCTTATTTCATCATTAATTACGTGAAAGAGTCGTAAAAGTTCCTTTCAATACACCGCTATTAATAGATGGCGTGGTTATACAGAATAGATAGTATCACAACTGGTAATTGTAAAAACTAAAGGAAATAAGTAAGCTACTAATTCTAAAATTGGTATGGTAACTTTTCAGGGCTGGCGATGTTTGTAATTTATTTTAGATGTGGATGTGTCGGCAACATACACAACGATTCACCGTAATCAGCGGGGGTTAATCTGCCAAATTTCAACAACTTTCAAGTTGACATATAACATATAAGGAGAGAAATTATTCAAAATTTCAAAATTCCATAACATGCATCCCCACAAACTTTACTTCCGTGACATTTCCCCAACTTCTCCCACTCTAACCGACTCTCACCTGTCCACTGCGATAGTTGTACTGAGCGATGCTCCATCCGAATGCCTCAGCCAAGGTTCCAGAGAGGTCGAACAGGGTGTGGGCTCCCCCTACCACTAGGGTCCTGAAGCAGGGTGGAGCGATGTTCTCGCAGGTTGCTCTCAACTGCCATTCTCTACACTGTAACTGCTTGTGGAGCTCAGAATTCCGGGCTAGATCCAGTTCTTTTTGCCGGACTTTCGCTGAGGGAGGAAGGGGTGTTTAGATTAAAAGCATTATATCTCAGCTACAGGATTAGAGAAAGTTCTCAAATTAATTGCGGTTCAGTTTGCATTCACACAGCAGCTTGTGTGTCATTATCTTCGTCACACAGGATTAATTTTCTCGTAATTGTCGCAGTGTCCAGTGCACTGCCTGTCTCTACTCGATACAATGGAGATATTATCTCATAAAATCGTCTTTAATTATAATTAGTAGCAGAGAATACGGGGTAGAAAGCCTCAAGATAGAGAGGTTAAGTGCAGGGGTTGGGACCGGATTACGGGATAATATTACACTACACCAATTACACAAGCTTAAGAGCCGGGGGAAGTGAGGGATTTGAGCTGTAATACAGAGAATCACAGGAATTAGAGAAACAAAGTATCAAGAATTAGAAACTGGGAAAGGGGAATTAGAAAGGTACGCCTGATAAGGTTTCAAACCGTACAAAAAAGAGAAAACAAACGCTCTCGGGAAATACCATGTGGTGTGGGTGAAGGATTCCGAGAAATATATATGGTATATTTAGCTACAGTAAGATGAACCTTGATTTAGAGTAAAGAAATTTTCCAATAAAGCTGCCCTCTTGGGGTTTGAACATCCCGAAAAAGATAATAAGACGAGAGGAGGAGTGGCCGGTACAAAACACCTTCATTGTTCGTTTAACAAATCAGGACGAAAGCTCCCAAGCTCGCGGAGAAATTTTTGAAATGAGGTCACAAATCCAAGGAAATCCCTTAACATTAGAGACCGGGTCTCCATGGTGTCTGACTCAGCAGTCCCACATGTCTTCAAGGTGGTCAGGGATTGGCCGGGCTACCTGGCTTAAAAATTAGTCGGTCTGGAGAAAGTAAGTAAAGCCTGTCGACATACAAATGTACGGGCGCTATATAAATATATCATGCTTTACATATTAGAGCTGATCAGTATTCACTGTTAGAGAGAGTACATTTACTAAGATTTCCTGTAACAAGGGTTAGTGGAGGACGAGCAGAATTACTGCCCAAATATCTCAGTGAACAAGTTAGTCAGGACCGGGGCGGTATAACTCACACCACTACGACATCCTCCCCAGGCTCCGGTACCCCCCTTAACTACAGTTATTGACGTCCCACTAATTCCACACGGGTGGATCTCGGAGCAGGTCACTAAATGGGGTTATCGGCCCTGTAAACCCCGGACAGTCATGTCAAACATTTAGTGAAGACTCTACGGACAGCAGCAGCAGCAGCAGCAGCAGCAGCCACAGCGGTATATAAATTTAGACTGAGCAAATACAGCATTTATACCCACTCTAACTTTTCTCCGAGAGTTAGTTAAGTGTGTGTTTTGTTGTTGTTGTAGGGTGGGTTGTGTTGGCTTTGCTCAGGGTATTATTTCCTCACTGGTAAAGTGTTTGTTGTGTGTTTCTGTTTGTGTCGTGTGTGGCCCCCGTTCGGTTTGATTCTACTTTATTTTGTGCTGATAATGATACCTGTTTTCTCCTAAATCTCTCTTGAGGTTAGGACAGACTTTTCTGGCAAGATATCAACTTTCCTAACAGTATGGCTCAAACTGGTTGTGTAGACGATGACTTGCTCAATCAGTGGCTGCCTTATCAATGTTGGAGACCAAAGTGTTAATTGAGATTGATCTACGAACTATTTACTCATATCGGGGCTACTGATCGTAATCTCGTTAGAATGTGTCGAAACCAAGATCCAATCTGACAGGAGTCAAATGACATTCAGGGAGTTATTGGCAAGCTACTCATCCCACAGATTTGAGGAGAATGTTAGAAGTAAAGCTTTGAAGACATCAAAATTCGATGGTTATTTTTTGGATACAGAAAACTCAAAAGCCAAATCTCATTAGTTTCCAGGAGCCCTGCAGTTATTCCGCTCAATTTTCAGAAGCAGAAGTTGTTACCATGGTAGGGCTTCAAACTCCCCCCGCCTAGCAACCCTATCACGATACACTTCAAAACCAAATCGCATTGTTTCCAGACATTGCCCTTAGATTAAAAAAAGACAGTTTATAAACCCACAATTCGACTCTCAATCTCCTGATATAAATATCCTCTCTCTCTCTCTCTCTCTCTAGAACGGTGGATTTCTCTATCTCTCAAACCTCGTGGAGCCACCGAGGGGAGGAGCAACCTAATACTTAAGATGGAGCGTCCAGTCTAATTGGGATCTAACAAGCTCCTCTCTGGCCCGGCCCAACTCCTCACAGATAAAATAATGTGTTTCAAACACATCTAACTTTTCGTGTAAAATCATGACGAGCTGTGTGTGTGTGTGCCCCTGGTTGTAAAACTAGGCCCACTGCCGGTAACACATACCTCCACATTCCTGCTCCCCACCACAGGTTCTAGCTTCCCGGGACTTTCTTATTCTGGGTTCCATCTCTTCCCCGGGTAACTGTTATATCTCTCACCTTTAAGTTTTTTAAACTGAGAGTGTAAACTGAAGACACATGATGATAACCGCCTCCCTACCTACCACAGACCAGGTACAGACATGATCAGGTGATCTTGTGAGACCGTGTTTTGACGGTTACAGTCATTCCCCCACTCCCCCTGTTATTTTGATCTGGGTCAGCAGCCCGGTTCAGCTTTTTAAAACCTTTCCAACAGCAGGACACCCAGGGACGAGCCCTAGATGTTGTGCTTTTTTAACAGTTTTTGAAGGGCAGACATTGAAACGTAATATTATGATACGGTGAAAGAGAGAGAGTGTGTGTAGGGATATAATATTATTCATGGTATCGAGCATCTAGAGAAATGTCACATGTGGGTATACGGCCGCTCGTGTCGCTGCACAGCGAGAGAGAGAGAGAGAGGGAGAATCTTTTTTCAGACAAATTAAAGCTGGTCAAGTTGTAAACGAATTTTATACTTGGCTGCTGTTGCAGTGCATTAACTGCGCTCAGCAGCTCATCCCTCCCAGCAGTGGCCCGTGAACAAACACCCAGCTCTGCTCTAATTTTCGTGATCAATTGATTTTTGCTGGAGATCACATAATTAAGGGGTGGATTAGTTTAGCACAGGACCAGTGGGCCTCCTTGACAAGTGTGCCACTTCATTCTAAACTAATTACCGTCCCCGTGAGGCACTCGCTCTTCAAGAAAAATGGAAAAAACACAATGCGAAAATCATCCCGTCAATTCTCATTTAATGTGTAATAATTCAGGAATTGGATTGACAATGATGGTAGGGCGATGTTCGAAAACGTGAGACCCTAATTAGGAGGGGCAAGCTGTCTGTTGGATTGAGACAAAGCACTGGGCGCTATAACGGGGGCCGACAACGTGGTTTTCTCCCGGTATATCAAAGTTAGCTTTTCGGTCTAAATTATCCGGACCGGCTAGCAGCCAAAATAGCAGTATTATCCAGCGATTCAGATAAGAATACGTGAAATTGGATACGGCAGTGGTAAAAATATGCATTTGAAGAATATAATAACCATTAAATCGGTCGTGAGAGTCTAAAAAATTTGCTCATCTTAGACGAAATAACGAAAAGAAGCCAGCCCGAAACCGATTATCTCAAACGGTCAGATCTTGAGATTTTGTCTAAAACGGGAAATTTCATTCCAGTTTTCTAGTCGAACGTGGCAATATTGCGACTTAGCGTACGGCATATCACGGGGGAATTACAGAGCTGAGGCACGATTTGAGCAGATACACCGCGTTTACTAAGGCCAAAAATTAGAGATATCTGTATATTGAATAATGTGATGGCCCCGACAATATATCATGTGTTCAATTATTGTACATTGACTGCTAGGTAACATGAGCCCCGCAATTAAGGCACACAGAGATTGAAAACAAGTTGGATTCCCCAGGCTAGCGTCTGTTGTAACGACCACACTTCCACACAATCCACACGCTTACATACAACTCCTACTAGCTCCACCACCTATCTCCCTAACACGATCCTAGTTATACAGCTTCACCCCGCTATCAATCCCTACACAGCCAAAACCATTTCCAGTTAATCTTGAAAGTTTGGTGGTCTCCAGATCGACTAAAAGTTGGATTCAAAGTGGGAGCGGGGGTCAGCTGACTGACGAGGCTCTGGCCTGAATCAGGTGAACCCCGTCCACACGCTCCAAGTATAAGTGAAGTAATTCCGTTATTGGGCTTCTATTTTAACAACAGTGACATTGTACATTTTATATATCTTGTACTTCTGGAGGAGAGGGAGATTATGTATAAACGAGAGAGATATCTGGTCTGAGAGCTGCACTATGGGGAGTCAGCGGACGAATTATCAAATTTAATACACGATTTTTTTGGCGACAACGTGGGGAAAAAAGGAACTGCTGAGCAAAGCCGTGGTAATTTATCGACAGTCTATTTTGTGGGAAAATATTCGGATACGTTACTGAAACAAAGGGAGGGCTTGCGGTGAAAATAATAAAAGCCATAAAAATGTGGGCAAAAATATAGAAATGTGGGTAAAAATATAGAAAGTAAAGATAGTGGAATTAAAATACCAAAGTACAGAGGATGTATCGTAAAAATAAATTCATTACACTTGGGAGTCGTGTTAACTCGATAAGAGGAGTTTCTAACTAACCGGCAAGTTGCTGAGCTTCCTCGGGAGAAAGTTTTGGGACCCTCTGAGTAGTGAAGAGAGACAGAGCTGTTTGGCCGCTCACAGCGTTCACTGACCCGCATTTGTGACAGAACTTGCTCCCTGAGTAAAGGGGAATCCCGCAATTCGGGCAACACGTGATCACTTTATCCCCCTGGCCCACAGGAAACTCTCTGTATGTTTTTGGAGGTGTGCGAGTTTTGAAGGGACAGACGTGTCCTTTCCTCGGCTGATGACACTTCAAACAGATCTGAGCAGCCCGCTTGGCGGGAGGTCGAATACTCCCGTTGTCCGGATCGGAGAGCGAAGAAGGGGGGCGTTTCATGGGCGTCAGGTAGTCAGTAACGGACATGGGGCTCGGCTCAGAGATGGAAGTAGGATAGCCGTGGGAGGCTATAGAGCTCTGTTGAAGAGAGGCGGGATAGCTGAGCTGCTGGAGCGAGGAGGACAAATGGACGGTGGAGAGAGGGGATACCATCCCCGGCATGTTCATGTGGTGGTAAGGCGAGGTGCTCTGGTTATACGACATCAGTCCGTAGGTGTTTGGATGGTTGTGGGAGGGCAACATGCTCTGCAGATGAGAAGGATAAGCCCCCTGGAGCTGGAGCTCGGGAGAGGTGTACATTGAGGGATAGTATGTTCCTCCATTGCAAGAGGAGGACGTCTCGAACTTGGGAATGGTCTCGGTTGGTGTAGACTCTATCATAATGCCGTTCATGTTATACTTGACAAGTTAACACTCTATTGCCAACGTTAGGAGCCAACCAACTAAACAATTTGCATAGTTTGCAAGCAAAAATAACAGTGTTGTTAAGTAAAGCAACCCAAAGGCTTCTAAGACAACTGTGCGCTATCCGGTTTCTTTAGGCTGCTGAATTTGAAAGTGTATGAGGACGGTGATTGGTTAATTATTGCGTGACGTAGCACAGCAACGCTAGACTGGTAGCCGAGTACTAGAGAATCACGTTACATGTCACGTGTGCGCGTCTCACGCTCCACGTGATGCGTTAATTGAACGATAATTTGTAACTGTGTGCTGGTGAGCGCGCGCGAGAGCATATTTGCAGGGCCGATCTGCTTATTAGACCGTTTTGCCGGGAACTATAAATCGCTCGACAGGAAACTAATTTGGACGGGGTGATTGCATCACGTGACCAATGATCGAATCAGAAGCCTAACAATTGTTCCATCGATTAGCAGGCCTGAAGAAAAGCAGTGATAGGTACTCCGGACTTTTATCATGGAACTGCATAAAATTATATTGATTTAAATTCGAGTCGGATGCGATCATGTTCAAAATGAGAAGTGGCGACACGTTTTCGATAAGATTCATCGCAAGACCTCACAAATCATCAACAAAATGACCAACAGCAGGCCACATGAAACATCTGCTTAACATTACCAGAACCAGAAAGTGCACAGAAATAAGCAATGATGAGTGGGGTAGGACTACATCGGCACAGTATCAAAAGAAAAAGTGCACGACCTAGCATGCGGTGGGTTTCTACACTTTTACTAAGCCCTGCACTTCAATACACTATTGTTTGCTTCCGCCACACGTGCACTCTTTAGAGGGACTCTCTGTATTTTCACTTTATTGTAGTACAGATGATGATTCCCGTACTAATTCTCTCCCGTGATACGTTCCGTAAAACTAAAACATGTAGTGCATCTGGCAATTAAGTGCAATGCCAAGAAGCTTCTTTAGTGCACTTGTGGCATTCTTTAGAGATGGATGGCTGGATATAAAGATAAAAATCTGTTAGACTGATCACACACACGCTTTAAGTGAACATCATGACTTCACCTCAGACTCTGTCATACTTTTGTTTACGACATCTCTCTCTGTCGGATCGAAGTACAATCACACCACTACTCGATATTCAGCTAAATTTTGGAGGGTAATTAGGTTACTGGTACAGCTATGATTTAATAGTTGTTTACAAATAAACTCACTACTCAACCGACTCGCTGATTGAGCGGGACAAAGGTGCCGCTTTTGACATTTAGAATTGTCCTTGTCGGTATCCATAAACGGCAATCATTGCAGTTACACGATTTATGCCAGCTATGAGTAATTAAAGCGATCCTTGGATCACGGGAATCTCAACACGAATATCTCTCATCACAAAAACTAGCGCTCCTCCGGCCGGAGTTCATTTTAATAATGAAACACAAAGACGCACGCTCACTACCTCACGTTTCAATTCACGGACCGGGCTGTTTTTAACAATCCGGACGTGTCAGACTCAGATCAAGCAGCTTACCCCGATCCTTAGTCCCCGAGGTACGCCAGTCCGGCCCGTCCCCCATCAACCCGCTGTCACCAACGCTCGGTAACCTGCCATAAACCAACCCAGCACGGGTTGCAGAGGACTCCCAGAGGACTCGCGGATCAGACGATGGAAGTGCCATCATAACGGTTTATCCAGGAGTATGATTCAGTATTCAGTACTCAGATTGTTGTTAGCTGCGGTTTAACGTCAGGGCCTTGTCAGCAGGGTGGTACGTGCGAGAAGTCAACTGACTGTGTCACTGTCAGCCCAGCGCCATGCCGGGCACCTCATCATTGTTTTATACTTATAGTACTGCTACTTTTGGAAATCTGATGATATGTGGACGAATAGAATTTGACAAAATGGCGGGAACTATTCATACTTTACTTTCTAAAACAACGTGTACCTAATCATTATGTCGTCATATTTAAATAAACCTTTGCTCTTCAACCACCTTTCGCAATTTCAATATGCATGAATTTCATCGGCGCATGCAGGTTCCCGTAACATCACTTTACAATCTCAGCGGTATATTATTAATGTAACTCGTTCACTGAAGTTAACATGTTCCTGTAAAAGGGTCCTAGCTGGCGAAGGTAAGGGTATCACAGTCACACATTCCCTTCTTGTCATTCAGTTCCATTCTATTCTCGCTTATACTTATATCCACACGTTTTGACAAAACTCGTGATTTTTGACAAAGAAATATGAATTATTTTCGTATGACAGATGACTTTGAAAATGCTCTCAGACAAGTGCGCTGCATAAATACTGCCCAAAGATGGTGATATGTCCTCCAGCACTCATGTCGGACTGCTCGTTATCATTGGCGAGGAGGTTTACAAATGATAGAATGTTAGAAATTTCACACGTATTGTTGGAGTTGGCTCTGGGGAGCCAGCCAGCTCCTGGCACGGCTAGCTTCACGGCTACTTCCCCAACTAATCGGTACAACTTTAATCATTAACAACGGGGTAAGGCTCCCCGTATATTGTCGCACTCAGAATATGTGTGCTCTCTCAGTCAGTCAACCCACGGTTCTGTCGCAAAACAGCTTAACCTCGAACTGAGCTTAAAGTAAGGTCTTGCGGAGGTAACCCGGCCATAGTTTACTGCCGAATGTTGGGATATATTGTCTTCATGAGGAAGAAGGCCTCCACTTTAATTAGAAATCATTTCGCTAGCCCCGCTGGTGTGTTAGTCAGATCAGGGGGTGAAAGTACGTGTGTTCAGAACACGTGACTATAACACAGATTAGTTGGAGGGTGGTTTTAGAAATAGAATCGCATGATGGACAGATAACTTTAGGTGATATTCAAAACATTGTGCGCGGACAAAAGCCCCCCGCATGAAATAATCCCACTTCAGGGCAGGCGTGCGCACGCTTTTGTGTAGGGGCTGGAAGAAGTGAGGCAGTGATTCTCAACAATAGTTAAGATTAAGGTATCAGTATCAGAGGTGCTCATCAGAGAATGAAAAGTGAGGCAATGATTCCCAATTATCATTAAAACTATGGTTCAAGTAACATTTAAGTTCTTCAGATTTCCGAGAAGTTACAAAGTGAGGTAGCGATTCCCAATTGTGATTAGAGCTCATCAAGCAGAATAAAATTGGGGTAGGGATTCACAATTATGATTAGAGCTACGGTTAAAATGTCAGTTAATCTCTTGATATTTCAGAGTAGGTAGGAAGAAGTGAGGCAGTGATTTCCAATTATGATTGGGGCTTGGTTCCGGGAGCAGCTATAATGTTCGTTACACAAGATGAAAAGTGAGGTTTCTTGTGATATGGTCAGGGTATCACAGACCGCTACATAATGAGCTACTGGATTATACAGATATCTTTCCTACAGTGAGACTTCGACTTCTAGAGTCTAACCTGTTGAACTCTCCAGTTGGTGAGTTGGCCCCTTTTTTGGACGGACGAATCTGTGAGCGAATAAAAACGATATGGTCCTTATCACTTTATCATGAGCCTAGCAGAACAGGGCGAATAGCTCAACTAAAATTTTGGCCATTTTTTGAGAATTTCAAGTCACCGGATACGGTGATTAGTCGTAATTAAAATGTTTTTGGTTGCGAAAAGCAGTTTAAACTTTAATCAAACAACGAAGAAGCGCACAGATGAAACTACATTTACGACGACCCCCAGTGTTTAGGACTTAATATCGAAAATATGCCCATTCAATATTATATCATTAGATAGTTACATTAATTATCCATTTAGAACTGAAATTATTTCCATTTCTTTGTCTTGTAACCCGGCTGAGGATATTAAAAGCTATTCAACATTGTATCATTACATAGTTATATTAATTATCTATCTACAACTGAAATTATTTCTATTTCTTTGTCCGCTCCTTATTTACAAAAGCGCCGATAAGGTAACAATATTGCTTGGTGGGTTCAACGGAGCCTTCCTAAAATAAATATGAAGAAATTAGAAAATGTCCACGTTTTGAAGATTTCTTGGCGAGTTCATTAACTTTGTGAACCTTCGCCTGCAGCTACGCTCTAATTATACAACCACTCTTTCGAATTCGATCGAAAATATCAGAAAAATTGTCTGTATTTCTAGAGCAACCACTGTGGAAGAGGTATGATCAACATTTCACTTATGATAACACGACATAATGCAAGTCTGAAGGTCTCCTATTTGATGCTACGAATTTTATGGATCTATTTTCTAAATCCGACAATACCATAAACCGCGAGTTACCGTTAAGATTATTTAGATTAAAATTTGTGTAACTGCCAAAAGCGGGAATCTGCGGTAGAGGACCGGTACTGGAGAAATCTAGCAGTAATTCTGTTAATAACACAACTCGTATGCCATGATAATAATAACTTCAAACATTATTAACTCGAAAGCGTTGAGACCAAGCTTTTTTTGCAGTCTAACTCTGAGAATAATGAGCGATGAGCGACGTTGCGGCATACCTCCCTGATCTCTCCCGGACAACTTTCACCGTGAAGACCTCGGTAAACGGGGTGCAGCGAATTGTTGCTAGCCCTGAAGATGATCGGATGATCGCATCACAAAAGAGAAGGTGACACGAGATGATCAATTGCGTATCACTATCCACTGCGTGCACGTGTACAACATATTCTCACTGACACATTAGCCCTCTCATTTCAAAAGAGCAGTCCGTTTCCTACCTGGATCAGGTGTCGGGATTGTGCGGGTCCAAGTATCGGAATAGCGGACTGTTGGATCCTGGAGCCAAGCCGACTGCAACTAACGTATACAGTTGTGGGGAAGTCGCAGTAATTGACAGGCCAGAGGGCAGAATCTCAGCAATTCACTCTGATGATTTAGCTTCAGGGGACGCTTCGGAATAATTACAATAGATAGACGCTCCCCATTGGCCGAGTGTTGTGGAGAATGAAATGTGTTTATAGAGCTCGTAGACCGGAATTATAGGTTCTCCAGACCGGAATACATAGCAGTGCGCTAAGAAAATCTCGGAGAAGCTGTTAAAAATCAAAATTATGTCGAATCAAAGATTAAAGATTAGTTGAAAATTAATGAATGATTAATTATCGGTGGCCGTTATACCCTTCAAATCTTCAATGTTAGATCCCTCGATGACAGGAAGCAAATTATCGGGGAGGTTTAGCGTTTTCTTGCAGCTATAATTTCAAGGAGCGCTGATCACTTTAAATTCATGACGCACTATATGAACGATAAAGATTTATTCAACTCCCACTCCGTCAATAAAAGAAACGAACAAATATCAATATGCGCATTAGATATTATCCAATCGTATCTACTTCTAGACACCTGGTATGAAGTAGACCATTGTCACTTTGTCGGTTGTGTCTATCTAACTGAATCAGTACATGTTACCATAGTTACACTACTAGTTACCATAGTAACATGTACCCTACCAAAGACATGACGGTTGAGGGGATATGGTTGATTTACAGCCGCCATCAAGCACCTGTGTCACGGTTTATTAAACACACGTGAATCATTAAAGTTGGTAAACGTGATCCAGCGTTCGGAGGGTCACCGTCACCAAAACTTGGTTTTAACACGACCCCCTCCTTTATAATATGGCACTGTATCCCGGTATTTACCAGCAACACCATCACGAGGGCTGTATAGCTTGTGAGCAGTGAAGCCACCCTAAATTAATAATCCTTTGATTGAGAGGTTTGTACCTGCTAGATGACCAGCAGAAAGAAGAGTGAACGATTCAGGAAACTGAAGATGGGGTTAGAATCTGCGGTTAAAATAACTACCGCTGATACTGCATGGTAGTAATAATACAAATTTAGAACTTAAGTGGAACCCGGATTTAGAGTGCCCGATTCACTGCTACCATCTTTCTTTCCAAGACTGGTTAATTCAGATATTAATCCAAATACTCAAAGTCAAAACTTATTTACCGGGAAGATTTTATATTGTTTTCCGTCGAATAAATCCGCGACAGTCACCGGCAAGACATAAACATGGTGAATCCACCCCGTTACATGTTAAACTCAAATCAATTACAGTAAATAATTAGTGTACTTTTGCCATTCTTTTATCGGAGTATTTGTATTTTAAGGTATTAGTAAGGTATTAGGAGTTACAAGATCATATCTAGCTACAAACTGAGTAAGGTATTAGGAGTTACAAGATCATATCTAGCTACAAACTGAGTAAGGTATTAGGAGTTACAAGATCATATCTAGCTACAAACTGAGGGAGGTATTAGGAGTTACAAGATCATATCTAGCTACAAACTGAGTAAGGTATTAGGAGTTACAAGATCATATCTAGCTACAAACTGAGTAAGGTATTAGGAGTTACAAGATCATATCTAGCTACAAACTGAGGGAGGTATTAGGAGTTACAAGATCATATCTAGCTACAAACTGAGGGAGGTATTAGGAGTTACAAGATCATATCTAGCTACAAACTGAGGGAGGTATTAGGAGTTACAAGATCATATCTAGCTACAAACTGAGGGAGGTATTAGGAGTTACAAGATCATATCTAGCTACAAACTGAGTAAGGTATTAGGAGTTACAAGATCATATCTAGCTACAAACTGAGGGAGGTATTAGGAGTTACAAGATCATATCTAGCTACAAACTGAGGGAGGTATTAGGAGTTACAAGATCATATCTAGCTACAAACTAAGGGAGGTATTAGGAGTTACAAGATCATATCTAGCTACAAACTGAGGGAGGTATTAGGAGTTACAAGATCATATCTAGCTACAAACTGAGGGAGGTATTAGGAGTTACAAGATCATATCTAGCTACAAACTGAGGGAGGTATTAGGAGTTACAAGATCATATCTAGCTACAAACTGAGGGAGGTATTAGGAGTTACAAGATCATATCTAGCTACAAACTGAGGGAGGTATTAGGAGTTACAAGATCATATCTAGCTACAAACTGAGGGATGTATTAGGAGTTACAAGATCATATCTAGCTACAAACTGAGGGAGGTATTAGGAGTTACAAGATCATATCTAGCTGCAAACTGAGGGAGGTATTAGGAGTTACAAGATCATATCTAGCTACAAACTGAGGGAGGTATTAGGAGTTACAAGATCATATCTAGCTGCAAACTGAGGGAGGTATTAGGAGTTACAAGATCATATCTAGCTACAAACTGAGGGAGGTATTAGGAGTTACAAGATCATATCTAGCTACAAACTGAGGGAGGTATTAGGAGTTACAAGATCATATCTAGCTACAAACTGAGGGAGGTATTAGGAGTTACAAGATCATATCTAGCTACAAACTGAGGGAGGTATTAGGAGTTACAAGATCATATCTAGCTACAAACTGAGGGAGGTATTAGGAGTTACAAGATCATATCTAGCTACAAACTGAGGGAGGTATTAGGAGTTACAAGATCATATCTAGCTACAAACTGAGGGAGGTATTAGGAGTTACAAGATCATATCTAGCTACAAACTGAGGGAGGTATTAGGAGTTACAAGATCATATCTAGCTACAAACTGAGGGAGGTATTAGGAGTTACAAGATCATATCTAGCTACAAACTGAGGGAGGTATTAGGAGTTACAAGATCATATCTAGCTACAAACTGAGGGAGGTATTAGGAGTTACAAGATCATATCTAGCTACAAACTGAGGGAGGTATTAGGAGTTACAAGATCATATCTAGCTACAAACTGAGGGAGGTATTAGGAGTTACAAGATCATATCTAGCTACAAACTGAGGGAGGTATTAGGAGTTACAAGATCATATCTAGCTACAAACTGAGGGAGGTATTAGGAGTTACAAGATCATATCTAGCTACAAACTGAGGGAGGTATTAGGAGTTACAAGATCATATCTAGCTACAAACTGAGGGAGGTATTAGGAGTTACAAGATCATATCTAGCTACAAACTGAGGGAGGTATTAGGAGTTACAAGATAATATCTAGCTACAAACTGAGGGAGGTATTAGGAGTTACAAGATCATATCTAGCTACAAACTGAGGGAGGTATTAGGAGTTACAAGATCATATCTAGCTACAAACTGAGGGAGGTATTAGGAGTTACAAGATCATATCTAGCTACAAACTGAGTAAGGATGAACGAGTTACCAGCAGTATTAAACTGAACCCGCCGGAGTTGCCACTGCTGCACCTGGTACGGAGCACAATAAGAAGTCCAACAACAATAGGTATAACTTGATTCAAAAGTGTGAATTAGGTAACGCTACACGATCGTAGCTCTAAGTTTAAAGGCACTACTTCAGATATAGATACTATTAACACTTCCACAGCACTTCTATACTAAGCTTTTTGTTATACACGTTTCACTACTAATTCCTCAAAAATACCGCGTGCTCGGTGGCAGATCCTTTAAGTTAACCGCACGGTAGATATACTTACCAGCTGATATTCTCTAAAGGTGCTGTCTCAATGCTCGCTGAAAGACGTGACTTTCACGCAGCTATCCATTTATTATTAGCACCCTGGATTAATCAACCAACTTATACTTAGTTGTAAGTCTATTACGCCCGAAGATTGATGCATAATGATAAATATCCCGTTATATAGCTTCCTATGTGCGGTGAGCATGTGCGTAAATGATCGCATAGAGTGAAACTTCGAATTCCAGACCAGGTTGACTCCAAAGAACTCGGCATTCATTATGTTTCAGGACTCAGAGGGCTCTGGTCACGTTTTCAGTGCTGAAAGAAGAGGCAAAGTGAGCCGTATCTGGGCAAGGTGACCGCAAACGAGGCGGTGCGAAGGCAGCTGAGCATGCTTCACATACATTAGAGGTTGGAGTCCCAAGCGGAGTAAAGGATAGGCCCCGTGAGAGTCTGAAGCGAAATTTCAGCAGAATCGGTTTCAATTTGTAAGGTGAGATCATATCAGGTGCGGAACAAACCAGCAGTTACAGTTAATGATAGCTTTTATGCTGATAGTGATATGATATTAATACTATCCAATTATAATGTAAAACAGGCATGTGGATTTAGGATTGACACTGACAGTGGGTGAAGTCCGTTCTTTAACCTAGAATTAGCATCAGTAGCATTCATTAAAACATGGAATCACTCAACCCTGCGCTTACATCCCAGTATTTCTACATGCTACAGGATTCTCTGTACTAAGTGTGCTGAAAAGCATCCGAAACACCATCTTCATCGCTCATTCTTTGGCGATACAAGTGACTCTAAGATTTCGTGAAGTCAACCGCAACAAACAGGACGCTGGCGCTCCTATTTGATTTCTGGAGTAAAGTGGCCCCTCTGGCACCGGTGATAGCTGGAGGCTGGTACTTTGAATTGTGACAGTATCTGATTAAGAGGCTAATCTGCAAACTACTGTCACACATGGTATTTGTAAAGCAGAGTCCGTTGTATTCTACAGAATGCTGTGAGCTAGCTCAACCAACTGGTAGTTTCTTAAGTGTAGTCTCGACAGATCTCATAAGTCCGGCAGAGGATCAAGGGAGGGAGGGAATATTGGTTCATGGCGAGTCAACCATTGTCTCAAATGTAAGTTTAAATATGAGATTGGCAGATTGTAGTCAATTCATATTGTCTTGATAGCCTGGGAATCCTCAATAACGGTGCACTTTTGTTCCCCCAAGAAGCCCTGAAAATGGGGTATCACACTGTCGACCAACAAGAAGATATTATCCATTATTACTACGTAATAGATTCTACAGGCATAATATTATTGAATTAACGCCTTAAAGATCGCAGTACCAACTTCCACTCTATTAGAGGAAACTTAGTGAGTGTTTACGGGGGAAAGTAAAAATCATGTTAATGATAAATTTCCATGCTAATAGTTTTAAAATAGCAGGATAAGTTTGTTTTGGCTAGCTTAATGTTTCTGATGTTCAGCCATCACTACATTCACAATATACCACGACACAATAGAATAAAACAACTCCAATGTTTAAAAAACCAATTATACAAAATACAATCTTCATGTATAAAATTATGAAACGTTATATTGTATTCCAAAATGTGACCGTCATGTAAATTTTAAATTCGGCAAATACGAACCGCGACGAGCAGCGAATGTTACAGAAATGTACAAAACGAAAACGAATAAATATAATTCATATATAATCATTTATAAGTCATAAATTTTAATGCGAAATTATCATTATTCAACATCAAATATTTTAAAGTATGATAAGTACAACGCTGTTCAAAAAAAGAACGCACTCGACATATATGATCTCATATACAATTTAACTTTGAATATACTTTAATTTAACTTACAACAACTCAGAAAACAGTAACCTACAACAGATCTCAATGAATCACCGGCGAAATTTACGATCGTTAGGATTGTTATCGTGTAATGCTCTGCTGCGAACTTGTACTCATAGTGGAATCACCGCAACGTTCATCAGTAATTGATCGTATCATAGCTGGTTAATCTTCGCCAGTTAACCGGAACAGCACTCTTGCTTCTTCTTGGTTCCGGATAACATGATCCGGCTATCTCTGTGGCTGGCTTGGTTCTGAAAATGTGAGATTGGCTGAGTTTGTTGCTGATTTTGGTGCACGAGCTGTTTTTTGTTGCCTCTTACACATGTCCTTGCTTTGGAACAATGTGCTGCGGTGACTAGGACAATATCACCAGTCGATAAGAATCAGATTTCAGGAATTTCTCTGCTATGAGTGGTATTAAGGTGTGCAATGCGTTTATTTGGCGATTGTCAAAGAAGCCCGTGCTATTTTCAAGAGCGTTAATAGCGCCGGTCAGTTGAGTCGGATCGATGTTTCACTTGCAGAGTTGAGAACACATAGTCACTAATTGAAAATTGAATTACGGCAAGAGCTCCGAGGTTTCCCGCTGTATTGCATTGACGGGAAGCCAAGTTACCGACTTTTAGTTCACGCACGTGGGCCCGCTAAAATTCAGCAAGATTTACAGCGCGCAATCAAATGCGCGTTTTATGCGCGTCACATATAACAAAAGTTGTTCTGCCGCGTACGTTTATGTTATCAAAAATCGAAAGATATTTTGCGGATGTATAGCGAATCTGTTGATTGACTAATTAGTTTGATAGCAAATCAAGTTTGTGTATTTACACAAGTTACTAACCAGTCTTTACTTCTCACCTTGCTTGCTGTTTGAAGAACGGCTTCCGTCATGTACTGGAATGCCTGAAATTATTCCATTTGTGACCAGATCGCACCTTAATAAATGAAAAGATGATCATGACTTAATGACCTTGAAGCACCGACTTAATGACCTTGAAGCACAGTTAAGCGATTGTAAACAATCAAACAATTAGTGGCCACACAGGGATGAATAGGCGGATATAGACACTACTGGATCAAGGCCAATCATCAAGAAACTACTAAATAGAATGTACAGACTGTTATTCACAGAGGGTCATTAAATTTGATTTCTATACTAATCAAAACCTCAAAGAGTGCCGCTAGCTAAGAATTAGATAAAACTATGACATTAAACAGTTAGCCGGCGAATAACATGTAAATCCAATATGATCTGCATACACAATCTAACTTAATGATTCGCTTTAAATAACGTCATTTGAACAAGAGCCCAAGACATTACAGACTAAATCGATGTAGATAGTAAGTAAAGCTGATAGATAATAAGTAAATCTGTATCAGTAACTAAACTAAATAACGAAAGTAACCTGGTCGATGTTGATGTCTGTTAGCGCGCTTGTTTCGAAGAAGTTGCAGTTGTGCTTCTGTGCGTACTGAAAGTAAACAAAATGCATCGATTCCATTTGGGATGGCATAGTTTAAATTCTAAGATACAATCAAATTTTAATTAAATAACATGTTCGTTATTGATCGTGTATTTGGCTTCCAGAAAATTTGTGACTTTTGGTAAAATTAGTCAACACATACTAAATGGCGTGTGTAACTTTTATCTACATGTATCTCTATTTCATACGGCAAAAATACAGTTGACAGAAATACACACAGGATTGTATTATGCAACGTCGTCGAGGTAGGATTAAAAAGAAATGCAATTACTTTAGACACGTTTAATTTCAAAATAACGTCATACTCGTGTGTATATAACGCATTTATAAATGCAGTATACAAGACGAACTTGTCCAGTTCTGCGCTCAGAAATCAGGTCACAACCCGAAATTGATACTTGAGTACACCAATTTTAAGAAACTTTCGAGTCCTTGCTGACGTACACCAATACAAATGTGAGTGTGGCATGCGTGGTGACAAGTGTCTGATCGTTTGACAAGAATGTAGCAAGTTGTAGCAAGTTGTAGCAATAGGATGTGAAATTTCACAAGGTGCAACCAAATACTTTCACATAGCCGCGATACTTCATGTTTACACTCGCGTCAAATATTCATGACTTGTCACAAGTAATTGTATTCATTTTCTCACAGCTGTAGTGGTATATAGCTGACAGTCCAACAAGATGAGACAATATTCTCAATAACAATTCGATCTAATTTATAAATTAAATATGATAGGGTGGCTCCAAAGTTCGAACTTAATTACAAAATGCCGTAAAAATAGGCTTACTTTGAGTCCCTCTTCCAGTGTGACTTGTCTTGTATCTGCGTCACACTTGTTACCCACAATACACAACACTGCTGAATCTGAACCGTGCTGAAAACACACCTCTGTTATTTCAGAAACAGATTCAAAAACATGATAAATAATATAATTATTTTCTTTGTTATATCTTTTATTAAAGTAACTGCTCTTCTCGGCGTTGAAACGGATACATAACATAATATAATTAGAGGAGATTCATGTCATTGGCAGTGTTAAACTTTTAACTAAAATTATTCCTTAAAATTAACAGAACTATAAAGTGACAAAATAGCTCATTTTGCGCAGCAGCTATCTGGTATTATAAGTAATAATTAGTTATTCAATATTCATATCAATGTTCATATCAATGTTCATCCGTCTAATTTAAGCCGTTGATAAGCAATTTATGTCAAACTATCACTTCACAAATCGCACAACAGCCCCCAAATGATCACGTAACAACCCCAAAATTTACAACTACACTAACTTCCTTGATGTTGGAGACCCAGAAATCAAGATTGTCAAAGGATCGTCTACACGTTATATCATACACTACGAATATACCCTGCAAAGAGAGAGAGGGAGTGTTAGCAAGGTTAGTTGTCATGGTAACTGGTTATAAATAATAAAAAGACGTGTACGTGAACATACACCGAATACATTGCCAATCGATCGTGAAATATTAACTGTTTTTATCGATTATTTCACATATTTGCCTAGAAACAGCTGTTAAATAAGCACCGGTATGCCTGGTATGTGCTCCACAGCCAGCCAGCTAAGTAACAACTTGTACGGTATCAGCTGTACTTGATAAGAAACCAGTACTGAACTAGAATTCCCAGGTGGCTCACGCAACTCTAATCTAATAACCTTATCTCGGTACTTCTTTTAAAAAAATATTTCACAATTTGTGGATCATAATTGCCACGTTTTGGATCTTATCTTTTCAATTAGTTGAAGAGTATTAATTATATTTCCCTCCCGATGAGTACCAGATACTCGGTACATACCAATCTGGCTCCAGTCTGGTATCCCAGACCTACAGTCTGATCCTTCAACTAATCATCCAATAAAAAAACTAATTAACTTATTAACAATTGATTACCTGATTAACAACCATGTTACTAATTAACCCCTAATTATCTAATTAATTAATTAACTAATGACACTGACCAGAGCGCCCCGGTAATAGGAGTGTGTTATTGTTCTGAACTTCTCTTGACCGCTGGTATCCCAGAGCTGCAGTCTAATCCTCTTACCATACAGCTCTACTGTCTTTATCTTAAAGTCAATACCTGAGATAACAAATAATATGTGTTATCTTGAAGTCAATACCTGAGATAACAGATAGTGGGTGTTATCTTAAAATCAATACCTGAGATAACAGATAATATGTGTTATCTTAAAGTCAATACTTATATTAGAGGTAGGGTGGTTGCAACAAAATGAACAAAAACAATTGAAAAAAAAATACAATTTCAACTTTAGATATTTTCTCTTTAGGTTGGTTTCACTGGATTTCATTGGTGTATATTTCAGCCAAACTGGGCATTTTGTTTTTCTGCCGGTTATACACTTTTTTGGGTGTGAGATTTTAGAATCTCAAAATACGATTTCAATTCCTGGGAGTTTCCAGAGGCGATACTGTAGCCTTAAATTTCATGTTACAATTCAAATGTGGTGATGTCCTATGATAACTGTGTCATGAGAACTCTGCATCGCCTGAATTGTTTCGTTGAGAACATTGTGTTTATATTTAGAGATATTGTCTAAGCTAGTTTTGATAAGTTTTCTGAAACCAGCACAACACACAATTACAAGGACATATTTACCATATTCTAATGATTCATTGTGATGATACTAATTACTAAGGGTGGGGATAATCTTAGTTTTTGTCCAAGACAAATTTGCACCATTTTGTGATCTTCGCCGCAAATTAATGGCGAAATTGATGCCACCGTTTTTCCTGTATACCATGATTTAAAATATAAAATTTCGGGAATTGCTATTATTTAAATTGAGCTTGATTAGTTGATTAATATTGAAATAAGTTGTGTTATTATACTAACCTATGGTTGGCATGAAATCGCTGTAGAACGCCTCATCACTGAACCGGTAGAGCACACAAGTCTTACCTACTCCGCTGTCACCTGAAATAAATTCCTGGTTTATTTGCCTGTGAGAAGGAGAGGTAGAGGTAGAGGCAGAGGTAGAGGCAGAGGTAGAGGTAGAGGTAGAGGTAGAGGTAGAGGTAGAGGTATCTTGAGAGGGATAGGGACAGGGACAGGGACAGGGACAGGGACAGGGACAGGGACAGGGACAGGGACAGGGACAGGGACAGGGACAGGGACAGGGACAGGGACAGGGACAGGGACAGGGACAGGGACAGGGACAGGGACAGGGACAGGGACAGGGACAGGGACAGGGACAGGGACAGGGACAGGGACAGGGACAGGGACAGGGACAGGGACAGGGACAGGGACAGGGACAGGGACAGGGACAGGGACAGGGACAGGGACAGGGACAGGGACAGGGACAGGGACAGGGACAGGGACAGGGACAGGGACAGGGTATCTTCTTTTAACAAAACCCCGTAGATTATTAACTTTGACCCCTCCTCAAATTCGCAATAACGACAGCATGAAGCATCATCACAAACTTAAATATTTCTCCTAAATAAATCATACAGAATTAATAATTAATATATTCCCTCACTATAAGTAATCAACACTTGTACGTAGGAGTTAAGAAATAAAAAATACCCTACCACCGCTCCAACACGTCACCCTCACACCATATGTTTGTGTAGGTAGTCACGTGACACATGCTACTCTGCTTTAAATATGGAGCTGGGTGTATCCGGCACAATATTCATGTGATAATACCGCAGGTGCAAATCTCCTGCATACCTAGACTGTATAACATATTGCATACTGGTATAATGTGTCTGGCAATGTATGGTATTAGCAGTAACAGTAGGCGATAGTTACATGCTGTTGTATATTTAGGTATTTGACAGGGAGGAATTCTGTAAAGTTTATCCGGTTTCGCAGGGCTGGGTCGCAGGTATTATTAAGAGGAAAGAAGTGTAAACTTTTTTTTAAACCCAGTGATATCAGACATTATCAGGTGATATCAGATACTATCAGGAAATATCAGATGCTATCATTAATAAGATGTTCCTCAAGTGAAAGGTTATAATTATATATTATATAACCACCTAGTAACAGTGACAGAGATACGTTTCTATTTCTATTTCATGACAATCACCCTGCAACATTTCAAAGTGTTGAAATATTCCATGATGTGAAACAATGGTAGGTTTCACGCGGTTACAAGAATACCAGTGCCGGGATAACACTAGCTCACTAGCTTACTAGACAGTTATTTTACATCTTCCTTCAATTTCATGCTCTGCTGATTTTCATGGTATGTTATTTGTTCTTATTGGATTTTTATACGCTCTTCCTTATAATCGGTTCTAGTACTATCATAATTCATAGTAGTATCATAGCAGTATTGAGTAAATTTGTATAATTATTTCATTGCTGGTTGTGTTCAAATGATTAATTAATAACAGGAAACCAAACGAAATACAATTGAACAACAACGGCTCTATTAAATTGAAGGGTAAACCCTAGTGCAATGCTTGAAATTAGCGGGGGGGGGGGGGGGGGGGGATCGCGCGCTTAGTACTGTACGTGACGTTGGGGTGGTGGATGATATTTTCTTCTAGAACACAGTTAGTACTTTTGTACTAAGTGGTGGGTCTGCTGCGCATTTCCCAAAAGCAGTTAGTAAATGGTACTAAATAGTGGGTCTTAGGTCTAATTTGCCCAAAAACAGTTAGTAAATAAGGGTATTATTTATTAAACAGAATGTGATTGATCTTTTGTATAATTTTAAAAAGTGGCCTTTGTTGACTTTTCCACTCGCAGTGTTTAATTTATTTTAAAATGTATTTCAACTACTGGTTCTTGGATGATGTGTCATGTAGTACAAACATGTTTCAGTACATACCATCACCACCAATATAATGACCTTTTGAACGGTTGTGTCCATGCGAGCTTTATATCCACCAGCGGGCTCTTTTGCTACAGCGGGCACGCGCAGCCTGCTACTAAAAAGGCCCAGCATGTTTCAGCCCGCTAGCATTGTATAATCTGTATATTTCAATTAAGCATAGATATCTCAACTGTTAGTTTTATTGTTTACATTCAATATCGGATCCTTTTAAAACTAAAAAGTCATGTTTAATGAGCTGTTTAAAGCAATTTTGGGTGGGTATCTTATTTTATATACCAAGACACAGTTAGTACCGTGAATTCTCAACAGTTAGTACCGCGAAGCTGAAGGGGGTGGGTCTTTTGAAAAATTCCAAAATAACACTTAGACGACGTCACGTACAGAATTTATTACCTGACAAAATACCAGTGTTGGTAAATCAATATAAGTACGCTGCACGTACTGTTACTAATTGTTGTTCAATTGTATTTCGTTTGGTTTGCTGGTTATATTAAGCACAAACACAACCAGCAAATTTCTAAGAGAAATTGTAACGGAGGTGGGGGATGAAATGACCATTAATGACCATTAATGATCATTAATGACCATGTCAGTATTGCATAAATTTCGAATACTGACATTAATCATTGCATCCCCCATTGTGACTGATTGCCCTTCTAACTCTGCCAAAATCAAATTCATGAGCGGTTTTTATTTGAAAGCAGTTTGCTCTTCTCTGCAACTATTTTCGGCGGCCAGAAAACGGCATTCTTGATGAATTTCAGAGATTTACACAGAAATAAGATATTTACATACTTGGCTGACATTGGTCTGTTTCCAAGACACACACTCAACACAGGGTAGAGTAAAAGGGAGGAGGAGAGAGGAAGTGTTCAATTATACAGGGTTCCGTGAGCATTGTGTGATTAATATCAATATGAGCTGAAGACGATTTACACAAGTATTTTGAAAGCTCCTGCTAATAAAATCCTTGATAAAATCCTTTCGTATCACTTATATGTTTTAAATATCCCCCTCCAGGCTCCAGGTAATATCAATATTCCCATTATCTTACTACTAACTGCACAATAATGGTTTTTATTCTTCTTGGATACTACCGGTATTTCAGCACCCAGTATTTCATGTTGCGGGCCAAAACTTTGGTCTTGTGAAACTTATTGACTGATTGGAATGATCATAATACATAGTTATAGTAGAACAGGATATAATCCAAGATGTAAATAATAGGAAAGAACAATCCATTACGTCTTGCACGGGTTTAGACATCTAGAGGAGAAGAGAGACGGCTAAATTATTAAATTCCCAAGAATTAAAATGTTAAAGGTGCTAAAATCTCTCTTCTTAATCTTAGAATTACGTGCTTTGAGGACGTCTGTTCTTATTGCTTATTATAGATATGAGGGTTCTACTGCTCTGTGAATTGAGAGTTCTAGGGACCCATTATATACACATATAGCAAATCTGTTCGGCACAAATTTCTTCACAGGAACTTTGCTAACCATCTCGTGCACCATTTGAACTCAATATTTTGTAATCGGGGTTTTGGTTGATTAAGAGGCTGTAACTCAGCTTGTGATATCGAGTGTGTCTTTCTAGTTTCTTCGTGGGTGTAGAAATTTCGCATCTTAAAAGGCTGTGTTGGTATTATATAATATGTTGTTATTATATAATATGTCCTATGGAAAGTTCTAGAAGAATGTGCGATCAGTAACAATCTATAACACATGTCCTAATACCTTTAACTTTTGAAAGATAAGAACATGTACTGCCGATACATAGCGGTAAATTATCAAACCACAAAAATGTATATTTAATGACAAGACTTTCGGCCCATCCATCTTTACTGTTCATAACAAATTTTAGATCGTGTGTAACAATTATGTAATTACCTGTAAATTCTAGGGTATAAACTATAAAGGCATTTATCAGAAGAGAGAGGGTTTGTCACAAAATGACACGTGAGTACTAATATAATGGGTTCAAGATAGCTGTACAATAGTTTGGTCCGCATTTAAAACTCATAGCTCGGTACTTCGGTAGATAGCAGATCAGATCAATGGAGAGACTTTGCTTATTATTAAGATCACATCCATTGGGATACACAGTGTTCACAGTGTTCACATCAGTACGGCATAAAACATCTACAGATTAATTTGTGAAGGAGCAATCAGCTATAATTAGCTCTTTTTTTTGCAAGTTGGTTATGATTTTGTGACAACCAGTCCAGATATCAAAACTTTAACAGAGTCTCGAGATTTCGTATATTGTAGTACTGCAAGTTGCAACATTCTGGGCGACATTTGAGGATAATCTTCACGCCAGAACTAGTTTGGAAAATGGCCGCCGAATCTTTTATTTGTTTAAACCGCACCAATTTATCTAGAAAACCTTGTTTTAAAAAAATCATATCAAATAAATCTTGACCCAAGTTGCTGTAAAAATTAATTGAAATCTTACCAATGAGGAGAAGTTTGAAGAAATGATCATGAGTCCTCTTTTCGTTGATGAGTTTGGTCTCGCTGTAGTACGACTCACTGATCATGTCCACTGAGGCTGCAACACGCAGGAATCATCTCACATCCTAAACTGAGTATTCTAGATTAGATATTATCAGGATATAATCAACGAAAGGTTACATCTCAAATCGTAAAGTGTGAAGATTACTTTAAATTTAATTTTAATGGGCTATTATCAATGAAATTATGTCCGTTATTTAATACTTGGATAGTGTCGTTTCGTCATTATCTCAGAAGACGATTTGTATCTCTTGTACACGATACTTTAATTGTACTTGTATTTTGTGAATAAAATATCGAAGACCGAAATCGAGAAAAAGCTTAAAAGTAGCTTCTTATCTCCAGGTTTATACCTAAATTAATAATGTTAAGAGATACTGCGATAGCATCTAGATACCTAAATAATATCGATTGATTTTGTTGTATAGTTTGTACGCAAATAATCATTAACCATCTCATTTGGATATAATTGCCCATTACACATACTATTTAAGATAGAAAAATAATATACTGTGTTGTATATTTCAACTGGAACTAGCACATTCCACTTCTCCTAGCAATGAGATTAAGAGGACACATCACACATGGTCACAGCGGAGCATGACCCTTCACTAACTTTCAATGTGACGTATATTTATAATGACAAAGCCTACCTGTATCTAGCCCAACACCAATTATTTAATTTTCATTTGCCAGATTCGGCTTAATTTCCGTTTAAAAGATTAGCCCGATTCTTCCAATCATGGTTAGCCATGACTTTTTCATCAGACTGCTGTAAGTTATTAGGCAAAAAAGAGGATCAGTTGATTACAAGGTACATTCGATCCTGTATTTACCACTCACCCTTAAGGAGTGACTAATCTAATATTCTATTGAGAATTGGGCTCATGAAACTTGGGCAACCACCGTTGGCGTTAGTTTCATTTGTTATCGTTAGTTCATGCTCCTAGTTTTAACTTAAAACACAGTGTTTCCACGATTTCGGCTGTCCAATGTAGGAACTCTGCAAATCCCCACCTTTTGACGTTTTTTGAAATTTATTCTTAAGTGTCTAATGTCTATTGCATTGATTTGAAAATTCCGGACCTGAGATACTACAGAGATTCTAGGATATTTGGGAGGTGAATATTGATGAGAGTTTCAAAACTAGAAAAGCAACTTTTCATGAGAGCAAGGGATGAGAGCAGCTGCAGTCAAGCAGTGAAATGTTATCTTAAAATCAAACTTATTTTCGTTATTTCGATCATTTTAAGATAATTCCATCACTTTAACCTATTTAACCACTATTTCGTATAGAAGAATGCTGGAAACGGAAACAAAGGAAGGGAGGGTTATAGAGCTGCAACCAGTCGTCCTTGGGGTGTTGTCAGAATCAGAATCACCAACCGACGTCAATAAGATAGATGCCATTGAGTTAGTTGATGAACAAGATGAAAAAGCAGGAATCTTGAGGATAAAGCTGATCTTTCTTCTACTTGGAATCCTTTCTCTTCTGCCTTGGAACATTCTCCTAAATGCAGAAGGTTTTTTTAGGAAGAAATTAGCAGGGACTTATTTCGAGAATAACTTTTCTCTATTTCTCCAAGCCAGTGCTGTGTTTTCAAACTTATTGGGAAGCTTCTTAATGTTCTTTTTGACCCAAAGATTTTCTGCTAGAAAACTTGTTTTGGTAGCTACTGTAGCATTTTCTGCTCCACTAATTGTGGTAACAGCACTTGCAAAGATCAACACTGATTCCTGGCCTGAAGAGTTTTTTATTTTAGTTATGATTATGTACTCAATTAATGCAGCATGCCATGGTTTGATAACTAGTTCTCACTCCATCTTGTGTACTATGATAGAAGCTGGCATACTGAAAACGTATTATGTGGGAAAGGGGTTGGCTGGACTTGTTGGCAGCGCTGTAGCACTCTCGACCTTAGCCTTCCCAGGAATTGATGTGGTCAGTGCTGCTTTCTATTACTTCATGGTAATGACAATACTCACCTTGGTTGGAGGAACCACGCTGACAATTTATTTCTTAAACCTGGATCTGGTTAAAGAAAGAACCATAAAAACGAAGTACAAGGGGGATCGGGATGAAAACACAGAAAACACAGAGGTCCTGTCCTTAAAAGAGATTGCTAAAGTCATTCAGACGCAGTGCATAGCAGGATTGCTTGTAACAGTAAGCAGTCTCCTGGTGTTTCCTGCAACTCTGACTAACCTCAAGTCAGTGGATCCTAAAACAGGTACAGACTGGACAGACAAGTTCTTCCTGCCAGTCACCATCTACCTAGTTTGGACAATAGGAGACAACTTTGGCAAAATACTTACAGAATTTGTTAACTGGCCCAAAAAAGAAATGATGGTGTGGGCTTCGTTGGCAAGATTGGTGCTCATTCCTCTTACTTTGATGACCAATATTCAGCCGAGAACCATTCCAGTTTGGTTTACTTCAGATGTTGTACCCTCTGTCATATGTTTCATCACTGCATTCACTGGTGGATATTTAGTGAATCTAAATCTCACCTATGCACCAGGATATTTTCAGGACAAAGAAAATCAGGGAAGAGCTAGTATGGTTATGTTCTTTTTCATAGCAGCGGGACTAGCACTTGGTAGTGGTAGCATTTTCCTTGTTCCGGTAATATTAAACCTTTAACAACAATATCAATTTAGATAGATCATAACAGACTTTATTGAATCAAATTACACATTTGTTATAAAAAGCTATATATATTAAAACAATTACTTTTTTACACTAATCAAATTTTGTGTATCACTGAATTTCTTATTTCATTGACTAGCTGCTGATTTACCATACCTCTTCCTTTTCAAGTGATCTTTTGAAATACAGATTATAAATGGGTCCTTGATGTCAAGCAAGCTCGTCAGGCTTGTTACTTCCCTTAATTACCCCTTACTGGAAATTGAGTGCTTGGCAACTATTACCAACTAGAGACCCGCTAGTCGAAAGCTTTGTTCGAGGAAATTTTTAAAAATCAGTTATTTTTTAATTTCTCTTCATCACTTTATAGCTCTGTACTGTAGCAATTATGGATTTTGTTTTACAATACGACGGAAACGATACAAGTATTCGGATTCCCTGAAAATATCTATTTAACAACCAAAGTTAGGAATATTATTATTAAATCTAAAATAGCTAATAATTTAATAAATTATTAACAGGCCCCTTAACGTGGGCAATAATATACGCTTTAGTTAGGAATAGTCATAGAGAATGTAAGCCAGTCATAACGTATCAATATCACAAAGCATGACTCGCGTTGCTAATTTGTGGTTGCTCGCACACATGCAATCTCTTGCTGTTGCTAAGCAACGGCGCGGTAAACCTTCGATAAAATTACGCCATAATTCTAACATTCATTTTACCTTCATTTTACCATTTTACCTCACCCCGACGTTAATTATAAAAAATATAAAGCCTAAATCAAAATTCTAAGAATGCTTTAACAGATGTGTTTCCTTTTTCTACAACCCTGCTAAAAATCGTGAGCTGAAATTGACTACAAAGAAGGGTCGGTTTATGGTCCCCGTTACCAGGGGATTTCGTCAAGTTTAAAATATAATATAGATACTTTGTGGAAAGAAACCCTGTGACTTGACGGGAATCGAATAGAAAGATCCTGATTTACTGTACATTCCCATTTACTATATAATTTTCTGCTCCCCCAAACTGTTCAGTTTGACCGTATATATATATATATAACTCTAAAACTCTGGTCACAAGAGCAACTGCCTAAACGTGTAGAAGTGAAAACAAATAAATAAAATATACTAGCAGTCCTTAATACTCGTAATAAATAGATTCATTCAATGTCATAAAACAATTAACCATACACGTGACCAGTAAAATAATTTAATTGGTCTATAGACTACTGTATAAAATTCTCAATATATAAACTTTATTAACAATAATAAATTAGTTAAAATCACACCAACCTTTGGTGTGTATAAATGAGTAAACAACATCTATTTGTCGTAAAATATCTTTCATAATATTATAGTATATGCTATAATATTAAAACTGTTTATCAGAGTTCAGGTAACAGAATTTAACTGTAATGGCACCTCTGCAGTATTATCCATTGTTGAGATGTAATCATTTTTTCGTCCGGTCTTGATTAACCCGGCTCACGATACATATGCTTCGTCCGGTCTAACATTGAACCCGGCTCACTAATCATAGGGATGGTGTAGTAGTTGGAATATGACACACTGTTTACAGTTTTATCTCTGTTCGAAGGAATTCTTCTGCATCCCTTGTTATTTCAATCGCTAAATCAAAGAACTCGCGAAGTCTGCTCCATGATATTAACATAGAGTTTCCCCCATAGCCCTGGTCAAAGATGTTGTGGAATGGGTGTCTTTTGAGAAGCTCACTCATGCTGTTCCTTTTATTTGGTTTTATATCATGACAGTAGATAAGCAGGTGAAGTGAGTTTTGCTCCCTTCATCCACATTCACACAGTGGAGAATCAAATTTATTAAGTAAAACAAAATTTAAGTAAAACAAAATTTAAATTTTATTGCCATTACAATGAATAATGATATCATAATAAATATAAGTAGACATCCGATAATAAACTTGTTACATCCAGTACAACCCAAGATGTCAGCCGACGCGACTAACAAAAATAAAGAAAGCTGTTGAATCGGTGAAGAAATTCATTCATGATGTTGTTGGGGTAGAACAGACTTAGGAATAAGACCGTATATATGCGCCTATGGTTGTTAGCCCTGATTATGGAAATTTACATATTCTGTTCAATGGGCATTGGGAGCCAGGTGGGTATGCTTGAGTATATTAGTTAAGAATCTATGAAGTCCTTTCTTCGGGAGCCAGTGATTCCTTACTTAACTGGAACAACCTCCCTTCTGAGGTCAACAAGAATTGCGCCCGTTGTTTCGTTGTGGCGGACGCTATATTTCCATTCACGTCAACTACAAGCTTTGATCAGCTCACTTCACAATATGAACATTATGTTTTAAATAGGGAAACACTTGTGATTGAATTCAATTGCCGTAGAGCTTAATTTTTATCTGTAATTTTTTGTAAGCAAAAAGTGAACTATACT